CAAACGGGCGGGTTGTGAGGAGAGACGCAGAGAAAGACAACAGCGTTTTTTTCTTTCTTCCATCAACTTCTTGTTGACTATTATTTTCTCGGTTAAGTTTCTAAACGACTTCCCTTTTTTCTTCTTTTGACGAAAAAAAAGAGAAACATGCTGGGTTCTGGTTGGGTATCCGTGAGTTGAACTTCAGCGTAATAAATGCTAGAATGAACTTTATTTTAGACAAAAGCAGTTCTTCTGAGAAGAAAATTTAATGAAGTGCATAACAATTTGAGGATGAAGTAAGAATTTGATTTTTAATTATTTGTTATCATTGCTTTGTTTTATTTTTTAATCTTTTTTCTCAGATTTATGGAGATGGAAATGAGTAGCAACGCGCTTAGAGTTTATTCAGCAGCGCTCTACGATAGCATAGAAGAAATCAATCGTTTGATTGTGAATCCCTTAGGTATACAAAATAAATGAAACAAAAAAGTTTTTTTTATCACAACTGATAAATTTAGAACTTTTCTTTTAATTATTAAAAAGATTTTTTGTTCAGTCCGTGATCACAAGGAGCCAAATCTTCTCAAACCGGAAGTTAACGCAGTGAGTTTCGTTTTCTTTCTTTAATAGTCTTGGGCAATCGACTCAAGTCGAATTGATCGAAAGTCGAATTTTCGAATCGAATGCCCAAGTTTATTTTTTAAATGAACACAAAAATATATTATTAAACTGATAAAAAGTATATAATAATTTAATAACGGAAAACTATGTTAAGAATTCACCGGCAAAGTTGTTACTGCAGAGATTGCGCCGACAAGTAAGAGCAACATGCATGATCGCAGATGATATTCAAAACGGTATTTATTTTATTCCTTCGGAATTTTATATCATTTTCTGATCTTTTTAATAATACTTATTACTATTTCTTAGGCTCTGAAGCGAACGCGACCGAAGCCGAAGTTCTGACTGTAGTGGAGCAAGAGCTCGACAAGCTTTACGACATCCTCTCACCAGATACATCCATAAGAGGACTAGAAACTATCATCCCACTAATTAATTAATAATCATTACCATTAATTTTGTGAGCTTAATCACCGTAGCTATTATTTCATTCAGACTTATCTCTGTGTTCTAATGTGCTTCGTTTTCTTGTTTCTGTTCATGTTTATCATCTTCTCATTCCTATTCTTAGTGTTTCTGTGTATATGGCACGAGCTGCTCACTCCACTCTTGAAAAAGAGTTGTTTGGTCGGACAAAGTTTTTTTTTCCATTATATTCATCATGTGCACAAAATTGGCTATATTGAAGAGTTTCTGCACTTGTACATACCTATGATTCACCCTCATCCGATTCAGTTTTTCGAGCTCTTTCCAAATATGGTACTCGTTCTCTATTCAGTTCATTCAGAAACGAGATATCCCCTCGTAAACTTTCCTCCATAATGACCACGTAAAGTACGTCGTACGATGTACGGTGCGGGAGTCCATAAGTACACGCGAAGTTTCACGTTTCACGGTCCCCACGGACCAGATCCCTAGGGGGAGGCGAAGTTATGACACTCAGCGTCGCATTTTTTTGAAATTTAATTTTTCCCGTCGTGTCGGGACCAATAAAAACTTGGAAAAA